CCCCTCCTCGCTAAGACCGCCACAGCCAAGGAGGGCGCCGACGCGGTCCTCGCGGCCTACCGCAGAGCCACATTGCTCACCCTGTGCGCGTGGGTGTCATATCCTGTGGTATGTACCCAGTCGTGTGCACGCCCACACACACACACAGAGGGGCGGGAGGAGCACTCGTGTATATGTATGTGTGTGTGTTGGTGTGATGGCATGTCAGGTGTGGGTGTTGGGTGAGGGGCTGTTTGTGCTGCCGCTCGACATGGAGATACTCGCATACGCCGCTCTCGACGTACACACACATCGACACACACACATCCATCCACCAGCGGTGTCATGTGTGTGTGTGTGTGTGGCAGGTGATGAGCAAGGTCGTGCTGGGCTTCGTGCTGCTCACAAACTTCTCGCTCTCCGCCAAGGCAACCCACACACACACACACACACACCTCGCTCTCCCTCTCTCTGCCGAATATCATTTGTGTGTGTATGTGTGTGCGCAGGACGTGTCGTTGTCTGCGGCTGCCGACGTGGCCAAGGCGGCGTACAGCTATGCGGCTGAGGCGTTCGGCAAGGCGGGCGACAGCATCAAGAAGGGATCCACCACGGCATTCGAGACGCTCAAGAAGCCATTCACCAAGAAGGAGACCCCCAGCACCACCGACAGCGGCGCCCCCACCGCCACCACCCAGCAGCAGACAGCAGCAGCCGCCGCAGCACCGCAGCGGACCGGGCTGTTCGGCCTCGGCCGCCGACAGTCGTGAGCAAACCAACAATCACACCACTGGCAACAAACACACAGAAACGACAAGTGACTGAGCGACAAATAGACAGACGAATGACAAAGAGAGTGGATGCGTGAGTGCATGAGCGCATGGAACGGACACATAACCAATGACACGTGATGAAATGAGTTGAAATGTCCAGGAGTTTTGCGTACAACAATGAGTTCGATCGACCAAAGTCGACGTCGATCGCGACCGTTAGCGCCCTGTACGCATTCCTTTCCTTTTCTTCACTTTTCTGGTCTTCTCTCCGCTTCTCTCCCTTTGCCTAGTCTCAGCATGAAATCTGACCATGGTGCCGCATCCACCTCCCTCCTGGGCAACAACCCGTTGGCCAAGAGCATCGTCGGCACCATCCTCATCATCGTCATCAGCAGCGTCGGCGCCGGCCTCCTCGCCTTCGAGTGGGGCGTCCGCACCGCCATCTTCAGAGGCATACGCACGTGCACAACAGCTGCACCACCTGCCACCGAGATCAAGGCCGCGGCACCCACCCCAGTGGAGGACAGTCAGGTCGCCAGGATCCGCGAGAATCTGCCGATGAAGGTGTGGATGCCTCGGGACGAGCGGCGGATGATGGAGAGGGTGCTGACGCCCGACGCTGTCGCACTCGAGTGGGGCAGCGGTGGCTCGACGTTCTTCATATCGACTCGTGTGAAGACGCTCTACTCGGTAGAGAACGCTGCTGCGTGGTGCGATGAGATGGAGAAGGAGGGAGGGCACGCCATGCGTACGCTCGAGAAGGCGGGACGGCTCGTCTACATCTGCTCTAACAGGTAGAAGGACAACATCCGTTCATGTGTGACACAAAAACTCAACATGCATGGTGTTCTCCTTGGCCGGTGTGTGTGTGTTCAGGTACACGCCTACGAAGAGGCTTGGCTACCCTGAAGACAAGCCAAAGGAGGCCGTCAAGGCCTTCCGAGCACCCTATATCGAGGCCATGGACACCATCCACACGTTTCGCAACGTCACCAACTACGACGTCGTCCTGCTGGACGGCCGCTACCGCCTCGCATGCCTGCTGCACACCCTCAAGTACACCGACACCTCATCAAAGCTGCTGCTGCACGACTTCGAGCGCTTCAAGAGCAAGATCGCGAAACGCCTCAACAACACGTTCGACATTGTTGAGGAGACATCGGCTAAGCATCAGCGAATGGGTTGGCTACGGAAGAAGGAGAGCGCCTCGTTTGACAGCGAAGAGGTGCAGAACATGTATCAGAAGGCTGTCCTGTCACCGGGGCCTTAGAGAGAGAGGGGGGACCTGTGTACGGGTTTTGTGTAGACAGACAGACAGATCGGTAGGTAGCCACAGGTAGGTCCGCACGTTTTGGTTTCTATTTCTCTATCGCATGTGTGTGTGTGTGTGTGCGTGTGTGGATGTGTCCACCTTCGTAGCAGCAGTACATGCATGATCAAAGGCTCGCTCACAAAGATGGGAGTCGGGCTGGATCGTTAGTAGCCGTATGTATCACTGTCACCGGCACCCCTTGTCATCTATCCTCACTTTATCTATCACGCGAGAGAGGTGAGGAGGTGCAGATGAGAAGGGAGAGTGCTTTTTCTGAGAAGCGGAAGCTGTCGCCGTACTTGTCTTGGCCCTGATGCGTGTACCGGGTGGGTGGCTGGGTGGCTGGGTGTGCATGAGGGGTGCGTGGAGCATCCAGCCACATTGGACTTTATGTGCGAAGGTGTGTGTACACCTATGTAGCATTGGTTGCTGCGTCCTTTCTACTTCCTACCTATCGCCAAAAGGAGTCGCTCAGGTAGCCGGGCGCAGCACGCATGGGTGGACGGGCGGATGAATGTTGGACAGAGAAACATGCAGCTAATTAATTAGGAAGCCCGGTTGTGCATACGTACGTCAATTCGGTGCGTGGATGTTGGTGTGGGTGTGGGTGATGTTGACATGATCGATGTCATGCATGGCGACCGCCATCTCTCGAGACGCTGACGCACAGCGACTTGGCGATTTGTATGTGTGGGTGTGATCAATCGATGGGACAGTTTTCGTCAAAGATGGCCATTTGCACAACATCCTTTAATGTACGAGTCCACCTCCATTCACCCACATCCATTGCATCCACACGCAAATGGCCGGTGCCTCCTCGCGCACAGGAATTAGGAGACCATTGTCTCTTCATGGTCTCTTCGTGGATGTGAGCGATGATATGTCACGAATAGCGGCCGCATCTCTGCTTGACGGACGGGGAGCGAGTGCTACACAAATGCGTGACCTCAGACGCAGGCAACGCGAGAAATATTTGAACTCAATTCATCACGTGTCATTGGTTTGTGTGTCCGTTCCATGCGCTCATGCACTCACGCACCCACTCTTTGTCATTCCTCTGTCTATTTGTTTGTCCCTCGCTCAGTCACTCGTCGTCTCTCTGTGTTTGTTGCCAGTGGCGTGATTGTTGGTTTGCTCACGACTGTCGGCGGCCGAGGCCGAACAAGCCGGTCCGCTGCGGTGCTGCGGCGGCTGCTGCTGTCTGCTGCTGGGTGGTGGCGGTGGGGGCGCCGCTGTCGGTGGTGCTGGGGGTCTCCTTCTTGGTGAATGGCTTCTTGAGCGTCTCGAATGCTGTGGTGGATCCCTTCTTGATGCTGTCGCCCGCCTTGCCGAACGCCTCTGCCGCATAGCTGTACGCCGCCTTGGCCACGTCCGCAGCCGCAGACAACGACACGTCCTGCGCACATACACACACAAATGATATTCGGCAGAGAGAGGGAGAGGGAGGTGTGTGTGTGTGTGGGTTGCCTTGGCGGAGAGCGAGAAGTCCGTGAGCAGCACGAAGCCCAGCACGACCTTGCTCATCACCTGCCACACACACACACACACATGACACCGCTGGTGGATGGATGTGTGTGTGTCGATGTGTGTGTACGTCGAGAGCGGCGTATGCGAGTATCTCCATGTCGAGCGGCAGCACAAACAGCCCCTCACCCAACACCCACACCTGCCATGCCATCACAAAAAAAAAACCACACACACACACACATACACGAGTGCTCCTCCCGCCCCTCTGTGTGTGTGTGTGGGCGTGCACACGACTGGGTACATACCACAGGATATGACACCCACGCGCACAGGGTGAGCAATGTGGCTCTGCGGTAGGCCGCGAGGACCGCGTCGGCGCCCTCCTTGGCTGTGGCGGTCTTAGCGAGGAGGGGCACTTTGGTGGGCGCTGCAGACGGCAGCCGGCTGGCGATTGCAGACGGCACCAGGACCAGCTGAGTGTCGGTTGCCTCCTGGTAGAGTATCATGGCGATGGGCAGCAGACACGCCACACCCGAGAGGTACAGAGACCACTTGGCCGCGGTCGTCGACACAATCACAGCCAAAAACCCCGTCCCAATCATCAGCACTGCACACACACGCACACAAACAGAGAGAGACGTGGGATGGGTGTGTGTGTCTTGGTGGATCGCTCACTGACCGTCGAGTGTGCAGAGGGCGACGATGGGCTTCCACGACACGCCAGCGAACAGCAGAATGTCAACCTGCACACAGACACAGAGAGACGTCCACCCACCTGTGTGTCTGTGAGTGTGAGTGTGGTACCAGCAGCAGCAGTGTGGTGACGAGCCAGTCGGCATATCGGGCGTAGTAGAGCTCTCGCCCACCGACAGCCGTCACGCCGTAGCCCAATGACATGAGCACGTACGCCGCGCCAGCGATGGCCACGATGGAAGTCGTCAGCACGCCGCACACACGGGCCGCAGACTTACTGTAAGTCAACCAGCCGAACACAACTCCTGACGACACAACACAACACAGCACAGAGACAGACAGACATTGTGTGTCTCACTCTCGGTGTGTGTCTGTCTGTCTGTGTCTCACCGGATGTGAGCATTGCGATGGCAGTGAGTACGAGGACGGCCGTGCCGATCAGGGTGTGGTAGCTGGCCTGGCGCATCTTGCTCAAGGCATCCATCACCTCACCGGCCACCGAATACGCACCCTCCGTCGCACCCGCAGTCAGCGCACCAAGTGACGAACCGTCCGCTGACCACACACACACACACACAGAAACAGACAGACAGAGAGACATGGACCCACCGCTCTCCCTCTCTCTGCGTTATTCGTCTCTGTCTGTCTGTCTGTCTGTCTCACCGCGCAGGAAACGAGTGCGGGTCGCACTCGCCGCACAAGCAAACAGCAGCATCACCATCGAGATCATGCCGAGGCGAGTCATGGCGATTGATTGCTTGCTCGTGGCGAGGGAGGAAGGGCTGTTTGGTTGCTTGATTGCTCGTCGGAAAGAGAAGACAGAGAAGCGATGAGCGTGAGAATCTGTTGTGTGTTTGATTGTGTGATCGATCAATCAGCAGTCAATATTGTACAGGTAGGTCGATCCTCGATCGACCCATGAACCAATGTTTGTATGTACAGGGTTCTCGTACTCATACACTGTACACGCACAAATCCAGCGGACCGCTTGCCTAAAAACGCCTTACTGTCAGTCCAGCCAGGAAGAGCCTTGCTGACAGGTGCAGTGGCCACGGCATGGCTGGAGGTGCATCAGGCGCCAGCAAACACATCACTTCCGCCGGCTCTTCCAGACTCTCTCGACAATTTGCTTTCGCTTGCTCGCTGAAAACACAGACACCAACACGCCGTCACCAAATCTCTCGTTTGTCAGTCAGTCAGTCACTTGTTTTGTTGACTGACCAGGAAATCGCATGAATTGCTTTGCACATATCAGCAGTGCCCCAATGCAGCCCAAAGCGAGGAACCTCGGCACGTGTGTCGGCTCCTTTCGAGGCGGCGGCTGGTATGTCTTCCTGGGGTCGTTGTGGGTAAAGTCACGAATGCCCTACAAAACAAGAAGTCATGCCACTCGCTGCTTGCTCTGATGGGATGCGCACCTCCTGCATGCAGCACAGCGAACGACATGGATGGATCTGTGTTTGCCCTTCCGCTCACCCGCCCGACTTACGTTGATCTGATGAACGATTGTGGCGTCATTTCCGATATCCTTGAGGGAAGAGCCGATCTTGTAGAAGATAAAGGCCCTCCACGCATAGAGGAAACATCCTGAAGAACGAGAGAACTCCAGCAAGAAGATCAGAAGCATGCGCTCGTGAGTCGTGATCTTTCAATTGTCCGACCAGGGAGAACGATGCCAAAGAGAAAGAAGGCGCTCTGCTGCCACTTCGCATCCATCCCTCTTTTCCTTTCCTTCCCTCGAGCTAAGCTCGCAAAAAAGCTCGCCTGCCAAAGATGGGGAGACAGGCCGTGTGCATGCTTCTATGCATGTGCATGCTGCTAGTTTAGTGCGTGACCTGGACAGGATCCCCTCGGGGTTACAGACACGAGTCTCGTTAAACACAATAACCAACCAACCAACCAAAGAAGGCATTGGGGGCAAGATCTGCCTTCTGCGATGTCGACGAAGCGGCTACGGAGCAGCACGGAAGTCCTACGCAGCCAAAGCTCCCAAAGCACGACAGGTCATACTGTACCATGACAGGAACGGATGCACCTGATGCAGCAGATCTATGCGTTGTGGTGCAGATGGCTCTACGCAGAGTGATTCATCCTCATTGAGAGAGGTCTCTGTGACCATTGATGTGGCAGATGACTTTGATCTAGCGAAGTCCATTTGTGAGCACTAGCTGCTGCTGGCGTACTCACATGCTGATGAATTTTCATGTGTTCGCTCTGTAGGCTCCTATGGCTTTTTCGTGTTGGCACCAAACAAAGTGAGCCAGGCACACAGACAACTGTGCTTGATCTGCCTGTCGCACCTGTGCCTTCCAGTGGTGTCCCCCGCCTCCCTCTCTGTCGACTGACCACGGCGTCTTCAAGCGACCGCTCAGATATGGCGAGAAGGGGCAGCACGTGTGTGACGTCACTCTCACAATGGGACAAGGCACCATCGAGTAAGCAGAATCCAAGGGAATGGCAATGGTAGTGTTCATGACTGTGTGTCTGTCTGTAGTGTGAGTGTCGCCACCAGCTGCCCTCTGGATGATGGCCATTTGGGCGAGATCAAGCAACAGGTAGGACAGCATGACCTGCATGTCACCTGACACTCACCCACACTTGGCCTGGCTGACATCTATCGTATTCAGATCTGCCGCATGTGTCGGGTGTCGTTCCCCATCGACTCCTGGTGGTCGCTGCACAGGTGGGTCGAGGCACCGCACTCCTTTGCCCATCCATGCACCACTCCTGATGTGTTGTGCTGACTGCAGTGAGGCCAAGTCATTGGGTTTCGGTCGGCTGTTCAGGAGCCCAACACTATGGGAAGATATGGTCAGAATCGTCCGTCCGTCATCCGTGGGAGAAACACTCACTGGTCCACCTGCTGTATATCACCAGGTGAAGACCATAACCGTGTGCAATGTGCATTGGAAGCGGACGTGCATCATGAACAGGCTGCTCTGCGACAAGGTAAGGTAGGTAGGTACACGCCATCGACCCATGCATTCATCCATGTCTGTGCTGTGTGCAGGTGTCGTCTCACATGGGTTCGTTCCCCTCTCCCTCTGACGTCCTCAAATTCTCGCCAGAGTGGCTGCAGAGGGAGTGTAACCTCGGCTATCGAGCCACAAGACTGTACAAGTAGATAAGGCACACCACACGGACGCAGACGATAGATGGCAGCCTTCAGTGGCGCAATATGTGCGTGCATCAATCAGGTTGGCGAGTGCCTTTACCGACGGCACGATTGATGTGGCGTGGTGGGAGCACTCTGACAGAACACAGCAGGAGGTAAGGTACGCACACATCGAACTACACACCAGAAAGTCGACGCAAGAATGGATGCTGATGCTGATGCTGTAGGTGTGGGATGCGTGTCTGTCGCTGAACGGCTTCGGGCCCTTCGCAACCAACAACGTGCTGCAGCTCATGGGCTTCCTCGAGACATTTCCTTACGACTCTGAAACCGTCAGGTATGCATTGCATTCGCGCATGATGGATGCACCGGGATATACACCAACATACGTTCTGCGTGGGTGTCCCTCGCACTGTCAGGCACTTCCGTGAGTGTCACAAGGTGATCGGCAGTCTGGCTGACATCACCAAGAAGGCCAAGCAGCACTACGCTAAATACGCGCCCTATCAGTTCGTCGCCTACTGGTTTGAGGTACGCAGCGGGCATCCACACACTCACTCACAGCCAAACGTCCACACACGGCCATGTGGTTTGTGTTGCGTGTGTGCAGTTGTGGAAGGGGTATCAGCAGAAGGATGGTGTCGATGCTGATCGCTGGGAGGAGGGCAACGCGGCGCTCGTCATCAGCTGCCCACAGCAGCAGCAGCAGCAGCAGCAGGAAGTTAGAGATGTGGTGAATGAGGCCAAGCGAGTCAAGAGAGGTCGACAGTGAGTGCTTCAAGCGGTGTGTGCCGAGTAATTCTGTAATGGTAGTTGCATGATGTCATTGCTACATGTGCTGGTGCTCCTATCTCGCTGTGTAAGACCGATCTTTGTTCATCACCTGACTTCACTGCGAACGTCGTACACCCATCCTCTCTTGTCAGTCATGGCCGACGCGCACACACAAACACTTAATCGCCTTCTGCCCTTCTTGTGCAAAAACCGACAAGGCGGGCAGACCCGGAAATTCATACGTGGACAGCACGACACCACCCACGCACACAACGCCATAAAGCTCATCGCCACATGTGCTGCTCACCGCACAACACACTCTGACACAAAGAACACTCTACACGTTCCTCCCTCACTCCTTCTCACTCACGTAGACCGCTGCATCGTGCGCGTGTGTCGCATGGCCGCCACCAACACAGCAGCCGACACAGCCACAGCAGCAGCGGCCACTCCCCCGTACAGCAGCCACTCCCTCTTCACCACACTCACCCACCCGCCCCCATCCGCCACGCCCCACTCACCACCGTCCCACGCAAATGCCCGCAGCTCTCTCTCACTGGCAAATGTCTTCTCGGTGTTGAAGCGCTGGTCGCTGTTCTTGATGCACTTGACACCAACGGTGAGAGCCTTGTCGAATGTGCCCTCCTTGCCCCTCTGGTGCATGCGGCTCTCCACTTGGGTGCGCCACGAGGTGGACAGCTGCGGGCAGTCCTTGAGACGAGCCAGCCATCGCTGGTCGGTGTCCTTTTCGTGATGGAAGCGCACCGAGAGGTCTTTGAGCACCAGCTCAGGGTTGGGGCGGGCGATGAGCACTATGCGGTCGCCAATCTGCACACACACATGCACACGCACAGAGGGAAGAGATGAGAGCGTGTGTGTGGTGGTATGGTATGGTTTTGTGTATTGTGTGTGGGTGTGACCTTGATGTCGCCGCCCTGCAGCACCCGTGAGAACCAGCCGGCAATGCCCTTCTCGACCACCAAGTTACGTGTGAAGTTTGGGAAGCCGCCAAAACGATGCACTAGCTTGAAGCATGGATCTGACAACACAACACAGAACACAACACATCACCGCCATGCTCGTTGTCCTCTCTCTCTCTCTCTCTCTTCTCTCTCTCTCTTCTCTCTCTCTCTCTCTCTCTCTCTCTCTCCGTGTGTGTGTGGGTGGGTGGGTGCGTGTGAGTGTGAATGTAGTACCTCTGGGCTGGCAGACCTCGAGCTTGACGTCGCCGATCTCATAGATGTCCCCGATGCATGTGGTGGCTTCCGACAGCATACCCTTAACCGACACGTTCTCACCTGCACACACACAACACAGAGTGCACTTTCTCCACCCCTGGCCGAGCAGCTGGCTCACCGAACGCGGGCGGGAAGCATCTGTCGAGTGCCTTCCTGACGACATCCGCCTTCACCCCCGCCCCCTTGTCCTTGATCCACGCCTTGACGTCATCATACGTGCCCTCCTGGGGGACAAACAGCAGCCAGCCAGCCATGCATCCATCAGGACTGATCAACCCGCTTGTGTGTTGCAATCAATTAATTGTTAGCCGCTGCTCACGTTGAACATCATCACCGCCCTCTCAGGACCACCATGGACACCCTGCAGCATCCCCAAGTCGCTGTCTTTGCTGTCGGTGGGCTGGTCGCCAACCACGCCGTCTTTCGTGATTGTCGCCTTCTGACCCAGCGGCTGCTTGTCAATCGACGAGTACAACTGAATAGCGCATAATATAAAAGACAGCACAGAGCGATATATGTGCCTGTGCTGTGCAGATCTATCTGTCGAGTCCACCTCACCTTGAAGCGTCCGCTTGTGGATGATGAGAGCAGTGCAGGAGTGCCCGCGAACAGGCCGGTCACGGTGCCGACCTCACACGGCAGCGATGCTGGCGTCGCCATGGGGTCTGGAACTCGCTAACGATTGTCCTTCAGCGAGCTCAGACATGGACTGCTGCGAGCTTAAAGCAGCGAAGGGGCTGTTTGATACAATGATATTCCGCTAGATCTGCGGCGCGACGGCGCCCACAGCCGGCTGCATCATGAATGTCGACGATAGATCCGCCCTGCTGCTCACAGCAGAGGAGGAAATCGGCACCAGCGCAGCTGACATACGGCGCCTATCGTCGTCCAAGCACAGTCAGCCGCTGCAGCCCCAGCGCAGCATTGAGCTGACCGCCGTGCCTGTTGATGCGGACGAGGCCCGTGACAGGCTGGATGGTGGACATGGTGGACCGGCAGCGGTGGAACAGATGGACGACAAGGGCATCCGGAACGATGTGAGCAGCAAGGAGGGAGGGGAGGGAACACGGAGAAGGCATGCAGATCCACAGAAAATTTTGAATATGTGTCTGATCTGATCTGCAGGTTCGTCTCTTGTGCTCACCGACGCGTCGGTCGTTTCTGCGTCTGCGGGTTTCCCTCCGCTCCCTCATGACTCGATACGCCCTCGACGAGCGGTCCAAGCGGTGGGCGCCCGAGTCATGCCTGCCCCTCCTCTGCTGCATGGGCGACACTCTCGGCTTCCCCGCGGCCACGCCAGCTGTGCATCAGGGCGTAAAGGCGCCCTCATGGTCGCCCAGATCATGCTGCCTTGTCTTTGCCATGTGGTTGGCCATCGCTGCGTGGGCAATGGTGGTCTTGGTTGCCCGGTTCGGTGTGCATGAGGTGAAGAGGGTGTACCGTGAGCACGCCGGCCACGAGCTGCCGATTAGGGTGGTGCAGCTGCACTACCCCAGTGTGTTCGCCGCCGCCACCCTGGTGCTGGCCGGGGTGGTGCTGCTGCTGTTTGTGTTCGACTACATCAGCCATCGGCGTGTTGCGCACTCGTTCATCGAGGGCATATGCGACAAGGTGCGGGAGACGTCGGGCACCGGCAGCGGCAGCGTGCTGGTGGAGGGGGATGATCGGGGGGAGGGGGGCGATGTGTATCGGTATCGGTCGCTGCATGGGGGCGAGATGAGCGACGCAGGAGGGTCCTTTGCGCCAACCATGACGAGCACCGTTCTGAGCGGGCCGACCTCATCGCTCTCTGCGGGCCACCCCCTCACCAGCCACCCACACTACGGTGAGTGACAAGATGCACCGACCGACACAATGAGTCCGTGTCTAGGTCTCTGTGTGTGCGGTCCGTGCGTTGTGTCTGATTCACCCACCAATCAGGTCGCGGCATGGTTGGGAAGTTACTCGCCGAGGTCGACGCATTAGAGCTGCGCATCCGCAACTGCTTCACTCTGCCCACTCCACGGATGGTCGGGCCAACCTTTGACCGCATCAAGGACAACTGCATCTACGCCATGGAGGAGGACCTGCACACTTACCTCTCCATCGCCCTCCACAGAGACGCGGCAAAGGCGTCGCGCCCCTTCCGCACCAAGCAGGGGATGCTGCTCTGGGCCGCCCCTGCTTTGGCGGTGCTGGCGGTGAACCTGCTGCTCGTGGGGCTGTGCTGGCTGCTGCGGAACAAGAAGAGAGGCGATCGGCTGGAGGGTGACGTTGGCGAGATCGTGTGCGGGCTGGTGCTCAACGGGGCGGCGGCCGTGTATGTGGGGGCCATCAATGCGGTGCCGTGTGTGGTGGCGCGCCTGCGGTCCATCAGCCATCGGCTCGTCGAAGTCACCAATGTACGTGTAGACTCCCCCACACAGATGGATGGATGGATGGATGGATGGATCCATGGACGCCTCTTGCCTGTGTGTGGCGTGTTCTCCTACTACAGGAGTTGGTGAATGCCCAGATGATGCTCGTATGGGATGAGAATGTGCTGCTGACGCTGCAGCCCATCCTTGGGGAGTGCAAGGTGCCCATGCCCGCCACCCCACACAGCAACCGCTCATCACACGCACATGGCCACACTCCCCAGGGCGGCCGACGCATCAGGACAGACGACACCCACACCCACACCAACACGACGGCGTCCCGCGGCCCCACTTATCAGACGTTGCTGCGGTCGACTCGTGACGGTGAGGGCAACTTGCTGGAGTATCGGCTGTTTCAGCACAAAAACAAGACGTACGAGGCCAGGTGGGTGCGGGTGCCGCTGCAGGAGCAGGATGACATCGACGCCATATAGCTGATGAAAACAGCTCTGATAGATGGGGCGGGTGGGGTCAATGGGGTGGGTAGTTTATGCACCTTCATGTGTTCGTGTGATTTGTGGAGGTTTGTCTAGTGGGTGTGGGGTGTGTCTGTGTCTGTGTGTGATTCGGGGCGACGGTGGTTTTCTCGAGTCAGCCCACGTGAGGGCCATTTTCTGGATGGATGGGAGCATGCATGGCTGGGTGGAGCCCTCGCAGGTTTTTTGTCTTGGGGGAGGGAATCGCACGGCAGCCTCTGCTGGCGGCTGAAGAGCGTTCTTTTTTATCCATCTGCATACCTACCATAATTGTTTGGGGTTTTGTGGCGACTGACTGGTGGGTTCGTTCAAGTCGAGTGCCTCTTTTATTTATCCATCTTACACACTTATCGACCGACACATGCTTGTTTGCCATGGCTGGCTGGGTGGCTGGCTGGCTGGTCGATCTGTCGGCCGTTCGTTCGTTCGGTCAGCTGTCTGTGTCTGTACAAATACAGGTACGCAACAGAAAGACGGCTGGCTGGCTGATGAGGATCTGGCTGGCTGACGGACACACGCAATGGACCGCCATACCATATGTCGATCCATGCCATGAAGGCAGACAGACAACCAGTGGAATGGAATAATGGTGTACGAGAAACACGGAGGGGATAGGCAGGCAGGCAGGCAGCCATGGCGCCATAAAGGAAGGACACACAGATGAGAGGACACGACAGACAAAGGCATAAACCGTCACACGGACACACACACTCGATCGTATACCGAGCAGCCTCTCTTGCTCCATGTGCTTCAACCACCCAACACCGACCAATACCACCCGGAGCTCACTGGCTGTCTGTCTCGGCCCTCCGTCCCTATCTGTCCAATCTCATATCGCCCCACCGTCTCTCTCCCTCCCGCAGCAGCACCGATGGTGCAGATCCACCGCGCACATCGAGCCACGATAATATCCTCCTTTGTACAACCTCAGAAACTGTTGATTGCCAACCCACTCACACCATCCATCCATCCACCCACTCAATCCGCCTCAGCAAAACCTGTCCTTCTGTCTGTCTGTCTGTCTGACTGTCTGTCTGTCTCTTGAATTGTCTGTATCTGATTGATCATATGTACGTCCATCCATCCATCCATCCATTTGTCCGTCCCTCCATGTACAAAACTCTACAGATGTCAACCCCCCCCCCC